CTCTGCCTCGTCGATTATGGGCTTTCCATGAAAATGCGATCCGCCTGCCCTCCTCCGCTCGACCTCGTCCCGCCTCGCCACCATCGACAATCTCAAACTCGACGTCATGTACGCGTTGTAATCCTTCAACGTCCTCGCCAGGACCTCGTTCTCCAAATCCAGAATGGGCAGATCCTCCTCCGTCCTCGAGTAGCCCAACATCTTCTCAGCGTCGTACCTAGAGTTGCCGAACTTCGCCTCGTTCGTGTTACCACCCTTCTCCACCGCCTTCTCCTCCTCCTCCTCCTCCTCCTCCTCCTCCTCCTCCTCCTGTTTTCGACCCCAATTTTTCCTCGATGACTTGGGCACAGAGCTGCCCAGGATACGGTTCTCCAAGCTGGCCGGATCCTCCATCTGGGTCCGCGAGATCTCTTTCTCGAGCTGTTTCGAAAATTCTCTCTCCACGGTGTCCTCGTACATGTTGTAACGCGACGTTGTCTGCGCGGATCTCTTCGTAGCCTCGGTGGTTAATTGATCCTGAAGATTGGACGGTGACGTAACATCGGTGCCGCTCGAGCGCGTTTGGTTACCTCTCCAAGTCACGTTCGTGTCGTCCACCACGTGGCCATCGATCTTGCCGAGAAGCAGCGCCGCGGGCGCGTCGTTCATCCTTCTCTTGAACTTGGACGCTCGACGCGCCTCGCCGTTCTTCTCGCCGTTCCTCGCCCTCTTCCTCCCGCGTTTCCGCTCGCGATTCTTCCTCCTCCTGCGACGCTCCGCGCGATACCTCCTCGCCGCGGAATCTTTAGGCTTCTTCGTCTGCCCGTTTCGCTTTCCCCTGATCTCGTTCTCCTGGGTGCCGTCTCGTTGACGATCCACCTCTGTGTTTGCGCTCTTCGAATCTTTGTTCCTGCGACGTTTCTTCCGGGATCTGTCACCGCCGTCGCCCTTTCGACGAGTGATCGATGTCGAGGCTGCTGAAAGGGAGGTAGATTTTTTTGGTTGTTGTTAAAGATTGGGGAAAATCTTGGATGGAGAGGTACGGAATGATTCGTGGTTCGATTGATTTAACGCTTGCTTCGAAGTTTGATCTTGGATTTTTCGATTATTTGCGTTATACGTTTTCTTTTGGCTGGATCTCTTTGAACTGTAGCGATTGTGTATATGTAGAAATTATTTTTCTAATTTTTACAATGTGCTTTTTTCACTGCCTCGAATTCTATTACGATTTGTAAATTCTTCTGATATTATAAACTTCCTCCAATAATATTTTAAAATGTAACAATTATGCATGGACGAGGTCTCCTTGTAATACTGTTAAATGTTTAGTATATAATTTGGTATATGAAATAGACCATCATTGAAAATATCGTCAAATATTAAACAGCACAGTTAAAAGTTTAAATACGAATAAAAGAAAATCTATAATATTCTTAATACTTTGAATCATTGATGCAATAAATTTCAATGTAAACTGTGATATTATAAAAATTATTCACAAATATACATACGATAACTTTGAACACATCCAATGATGCGTTTGTCACGCACTGATTAACACGTGATTTCTTCTTGTTTGAAATAGACATTAATGCCACATGTAAACACTATCGTTTAACATGCAATAAACTGAAGCAATTCTTGTTTGCAATCAAATAATATTTCACATGTTCATCATATATTCATGATATTCACATGATTAAAAAATAAATATTTATTACAATTAATATTCAAATTTGTATTATTTTCAATCTTCTACAATCGAAATTGATTGTTTATTCGTCAAGAATAAAAATTGTAATTTATTAAAAAAAGCTTTTATTATTTATTAGTAAATTGTAACTGCAAATCATACAATGGCACACCCAAAAATAATAAAGCAAAAAGAAATAAAAGACTAACTGTTATTTCTAACTTATCTTCTAGCAAAATAATTTCTTCGTTCTAATCGAAAATAAAAGAAAAAAATAAATCATTTCCTCTTTGAAAAATCAACAAAAAGCAAAGTTAATTTCCTAAAATTTACACGATTGTAACGAGAACTCTTACAATCCGATTCGTAAGGCAAACATTTTTACTCACTGACATTCAGACCCGGCCGAAACGATGAGTTGGAAACACCTCCTGGTGGAACGAGGACCTTGTCCCTATTTCCGTCTGCCCGAGGCGCTGTTTCCACTTCCGTCTCCGACACCTCTGCCGCGTTTCGAGACGAGAGGGAGCTCCCGTTCTCATCGAGCGTCTTTTTACCCTCGAGAGACGCATCCCAGCTAATGGACAACATAACCAACCGTTTTTTCTCTTTCTCTCTCTCTCTCTCTCTTTCTCTCCCTTCCCCCCTTGATCTCGAAGAAAATGAAAAGACTGCGTACTTGGCTAGTCCATCCCCGTTTGACATGCATAATGCCGCGTATCTCTTTCAAGTTTTCAACCTCTTTTAATATTTTCTTCTCGAGGACACTTTCCATCGAGTTTCCTCCGAAAGCAACGCGGGAGCGTTTTGTATCGACGGATCAACCTGAAGGATTCTTAATAATTTTTAAAACATTATCCTTCCTGTCCGGGGAAATCGCGATTTAAACGAAAGGAATTATGCTTTGGATCGAATTGGATTCGCGCTGATATGGAAACTGTGACGTGGAATTTAGTCGAAAGTGAATTTTTTATTAAAAATTACTTTTCTTTGGAATAATTTTTATATTCATTTTAAATAAGATGGTTAAGTAATTTTAAGAAATTTATGTATTTTGTTGATATTTTCCTCGAAAACAAAATTTCATTTTGTAATCATATTCGTATCGTGCGATTATTATTCGAAGTAACTTTTATTCGATTGATGTATATAGTGATTAATATGAATCACGAGTAACCTGGCCATCTTTTATGATCCATCATGTCAGGATTACAATCGCATATTGTATGTATCATATTCTACACGAATGCTCTCCATTAAATCATTAACCATTTGCAGTTGTCTGGAATATCAATTGGTTCAATGTCATAAAATAATTTTTAAAATAATTGTAATATATAAATTGTATTTTCAATAATGTATCCGTATATTTTTCTATGCAAAAATTTTATATTAAACTGATTGATATTATTAAATTATAATACTATTATCAAATTATAATACAAATGCAACTTATATGTTAAAACTAATAAATATTAAATGAAATAGAAACCAATTCGAAATAAGATCAACAAAGGGTTAAAATGAATCTATCTATTTAAAGATCTCGATTAATTTATCGACAAGATCAATACAAAATGAAATTTTATTGTTAAACATTCCAATAATTTTAAACGAAAAGTTAAATTTTGTTTCATCGTGTGGATCTGGTCTACGAATATCATCATTCCACCATTCCTAGGATCTTTTAACTTCGATAATTATAAGCCGTGCTACCGTGTAATTGAGACTAACGTTGACCAGTGTGCACCGTGAAATTAGGATTTCCACGAATGCGGTTCCACTGTGTTACGTATCAATTAGAAAGTTCGAGTGTGTAATACGACCGCCCTTATTTCGTTACTCCGCTGTAATTATCGGTTCTCCCAAGTTCAACCGTTTGATCCTCGATGCCCACTACCAACTCGGCCATTCGATCGAGAAGTTTATTAAATTCGCTCGGTGAACTTGTTGCAGAAAGGAAACAAGAAATGTGAGGTACGTTTCTTCTTATTTCTATTGCTTATTTCTTTTTCCCGTCTCCCTTTTTTTTTTTTATTGATTTATTATGGTATGGGTGAGTTATTATGGTACATGAGGATATTTGAAGGATAGTTTTGCGGAGATTTATTTGAAGAAAATTTAGAAGGGATGAATTGGAGAATTTATTCCCAATTCAGTTTTGATTTTTGTTCATCTAATTTTTTTTTTTTTTTTTGATTTTCTTCCTTTCAATAGTTTTATAACAAAAGAAATATAAGAGTTGGATCCATAATTCGAACTAGAATTTTGTACAATATTTAAAATTATGAAAGAATTAACACTTTATCGAACAGAATGTTAAACTAATTTTTAACAATCGAGAGATTGATATATTCAAAATGAAATTGTGTCAAAAAGTCAAGGATACTGTGAAGAATATCAATATCAATGGTGGTAAATTTCAAACTGATATTTAATTTATTCAATATATTATTTGAACAATTACTATTGATTGGAAATATTATAAATTATTTTGAATGAAAAAAAGAACGTTATATTAATATAATATGTTTGATATCTAATTTTTATGCCACGTGCAGCCTTGATAATATATTCGAAGACAAACTGTCTGATTTATAGTCAAGTAATAATCGAAGGTCACGTAGCTGGTTTTTTAGAATGGAAATTGATTCGTCACTGCATTGTTAAAAATTAATCACATTAATTCACAAACTTTCTCGATAAAAAGATTCTTTAATAAATAACTTCGAATATAATTATAAACCTGAAAATAAACACCACTAGAAAAAAAAAACCTTTAAAAAATAAATATAAAATCTAAAATCTATCCTTTCTAAATTTAACTTCAAAATTGATCGACAGAAATACATTATCCAAACTCGTTCTTTTAAGGTTAATTCAAAACTAGGCTCACTTGAAACAATTGACACTGCTCCACAAACATAACTGTCGACCTTGGTAATTAACGAGCCAATTCGCTCATTAACTCCGTTGTCACAGGACACGCGTTACACATTCCAAAGGGAGATAGAATAGAATAGAATATTTTCAAAATCAATAAAAATCGACGTTCAAATTTACGTACGAATCTCTAAACGAAAAATCCCTATAAAATTTTTTCAAGAAAGTTATAACATTCTGAATCTTTAACAACAAAAAAAAAATATATCAATTTCTTTTCAAAGAAACAATCCTAATTTTGTAGGATAAAATTTCACTATAATAACATCCAAATGATGACTCGACAATCATCAATTAACCACCGATTAACCATTTTTTATATCCTCGAATCGAAAGCTGTTCGATAATCGACACGTTCGACAGCATCAAATATGCACAAAGTACTTACACATACGACTGATCCGCATCGTCAGCCTGCAGTTCATCGCGCAGATCGTCTATTTTCCTCGCGTCATCCCTGTTATCGAATTGTTCTCGCGGATCCGCGTTTTGGCAGCGTCCTATAAAGCAACAAAAATATCGCGTTCAATCCCTGTTGAATACGAGACATCGTGATAAATCCGAACGAGGGATAAAATGAAAAAAAAAAGGAGGAGGAGGAGGGGAGAAGAAGAAAATAAGAGAGAGGAGAAAACGGAGGAAAAGAAACGGAAACGAGAGGCATACGCGATACGACGCCCGTGCTACGAAACAGAGGCGCGAGAGTTTCCATTTCCGGCTGGCGGAAAGTTTCACCTGGACGAGGAGGAAAGTTTTCTCAGATTCCAGAGGCCTTGGAACCTCGCTTTTCCTCCTGCTCGAACTCCGACCGGAAGTCAATAGGGCCCTCGCCACTTTGAAATGCCGGCAAAAGTACTTGCATATGCCTCCCCCTCTCCACGCCCCTCGGCTAGCAAGCTTTTCACAGCGATATTGAACTTTTTATCGCGTCGAACGAGAGGGATGAAAGGTTAAAGCGGAGCCAGGAAACAAAGCGGCGGCTGGCAATAGTCGTTCTGCGTACAGATACCCGTGGAAATCGTCGATCGAGGCGAAGGTTTCGCCGATTACCAAGGGAATTTGCTTACGACGAGGGGGAGCAACCCTCGTTTCGAAAGTTACGAATATAGGTTTGTAAAGGCGACAGCTTTAGAAAGACGGAGCTGGCAGGAATAATGGAAAAAAAATAGGGAAGAAAGATTTTTCGATATAAAGTATCGAGTGATTTTTACGATGGAAAAATATACGATAAATAAATAATTATAGTGAGAGCTTAATTATCCGGAATCTTAATCATTCGGCATTTTCTAATTACCAATACTAATTTTACATCATCCTTCTATAATTGGTAATATAATTAATTATATTAATAATGTTAAAACTTCTATTCCTATATTTATTTATTTTTTTTTTTCTTATTAAATTTCTCTCCATTAATTTTTGAGATTGAATAATTGTTAGATAGTCATTAAACACTATTCTATTAGTTAAACGAATTTTCGAAATGAATTATGAAAGAATAATTTTTAATTAAAGAAAAAAAAAAGAAAAAAATAAAAATATGTTTCTAGTTATTTCCTTCCAGAAAATATATTTTCGTCGCGTATTCTTTGACCTGATTTTAAACTCAAAGA